ATGTGATCTTGAAAGTACAGCTTGACGTTATTGAGATCGTTGTAAAGACTCTTCATCGATTGAATATCTTTGACATCGTCCGCGAGGTGTTTGAAAGTCTTCTTGATCGAGTGAAGTTCTGATTGAAGATGAGCGAGCTGAGAGTCGTTATTTGCCGAGCCGAGCTTGATAGAGGATAACTGGTCTGCTAACTGAGCTACTTGGGATTCGATTGGGTTTTGAGGGTTATCGGTTGGGTTAATGACGGGGGAATTTGTGACAACGGGAATAGACATCTTCGAGATACAAAAGAATAGAGAGGAAAATTTTACAAAAATAAAAAAAAAAATTTTGAGCCTATTAAAGAAAAAACCTTTTGAGACGGTAATTTTGGGTGTTACAACTTCAAAATAAATTACAAGCTTATGAAAGAATCGGTTAAAGAAAGAGATAGTGTAATAAAAATTAATTACAATCAATTTTTTAGCGAAAATAGAGAGAGATTTTTTTTCTTTTCTACGGAAAACTTTGAGAAAAAGCCTGAGACAAGATATTGGGAGAGGAAAGAGAAAATTAATAACCAGCGAGAAGAGTCTTATATGATAACTCGAGCGAAGCAAGGGAATTTCTTTAGAAATTTTCTAAAGACAAATAGGTTAAGATGGCGAAATAATTGTAACGACTAAGCTCACAGCAGCCCTAGACAAGCAAAAGAGGAATGATCCAACAGCACACGCAAACGGATCGAGCTGACTTAGTTTCTTTTTGAAGCAGGACAAGTTGGGATCTTGGTTACGGAATTTTATTGTTTAATGATAAAACAAAGATTTCGCCATGAGGAAAGAAACCCTCGAGGCGAGTACAAGTCCTTAAATATTATTACCTAGCTACAACCGAATTACGCTATTCACTGATTCTACTATCACTATCCTTTTACAGATTGGTATAAAAATCTTTTTCTTCTTTGATAATTCTTACGGATCGATACAAATCTTTTTTCTTCTTCGATAGTTATTTTCTTAATTCTTTTCTTTGAAATTCTTCTTCCTAAACGCCTTTTAAAGTATCGAACCATTTTTTTCTTCTTATAAGAGTACCGATCTTTTTTGAATTCTTTTTTCCTATCTCATCGATCTTCTTCTAACTGAACTCATTCTCATAAGAATTTTTTGAAATTTGCTGTGTGTTGTGCCTGCTCGTTACATGATTGGTGTGAGACTGAGGGGTTTATACAAAATCACACGGAGTTGAACGAATAGGATGATGATTGATGAGCAGGAGTGAGTGACTGAATTCGATCGAGTCGGAGTGACTGGCCATTCCTTTTGATACTCTCCTCCTCTCGCAGTTTTTTTTTAAAAAAAACACCCCGAGCATAGTGAGAATCCAGGGACCGAGTCAAGCGACTGCCGATCAAAACTGTAGTAGGAGAGAGCGTGTGTGTTTTGGGCGTGACTTGCAGTATTGCTCAAGAGATGGATCGAGAGATCCTGATGAGGTTCACAGCGATTGAGCAAGATTCGAATCGAAAGAGAATCAAGACCATCCAAACTCACACTGCTCTTCCCTCACCCATCCACTCAAGGATAGTGTATCGATCGTCTCGCGCTCTCCTCGCAGGTTATTTCCTATGGAACCTTCTGAATTGTTTCTTTTTTTTATGTATCGAAAGATTGTTCGGTCATGACCTCTCACAAGATCAGACGGATGGAAAAAGGGCGACAAGTGGCGGAAAAAAAAGTCACATTATCCCTCCTCCTTTGGCCGTCACACACACACACACACCCTCACATCCCGGATGACCGACCAGACCTATTCTAAATATATCAAGTACATTTTGCATGGTTGTAACTACGAAATTCAAACCGTCGCTCTGTCCGTCTCCATTGAAGGAATCGGCTAAGGATTTTCTGGAGATGAAATTATAAGAGACAAGTTTGGATTCGATCCAGACAAGCTTTGATGGCCGAGCAAGCCAAAGATGGAGGAAAACTTCGCCGTGCGAATCGATGCCCTTGTTTAAATCTTACTTCGCAAGATCATCAAACGGGGGTTACAACATAGCTTTTTGTTCCTTTTCTTTTTCTAAAATAACTATTGAACAACAACAAGCCCCGTAGCATACTTAAATACATCCCGCTCACTAGAGTAAAAACAACAAAAACAAAAAATGACGGGAGTGATTGTCAAGCGGCCATCGGGTGGACAACATCATCTCTGTCCATCACCGGTGGGGTTGCTGAGATATAAACTTGCCAACTGGAAGATGGATTTTTTTAGGGTTATGAACGAGCCTAAATATGTACATACATTATTTTGTACTGTTTGATCGACCGACCGAGAGGCTGACGGGCGATCGAGAAGATGGTCGAAACACGATCGCGTTTTTGTTGTGTTGTTGTACAGCTCAAGCCTTCGAAGGCTCTTCAGCTTACGTACATAAATGCACAAGTGGACTTTGGAGATCTGGTGAACGCTGGTGGACTGTGGTGAAAATCTGGGGACGATCGAGGGCACATTATGGGAGATTTTCCCGGTTGCTATATGGATCTTGTTTATTCCACATCGGAGATCAGAACCTATCAACAGGTCGTAAAGGTCTGCAGACAATTTGGTCCAGCTGGATCAATCCCAAAAAATCAACCTGAGAATGAGATTGCCTGTTGGCGTGGCCACCCCCTGATCCCAAGTTGTGCGCCGAAATGATGCATCAAATCTGCTTGAACGATTAGCTTTCAGGAAGAAAAGAACCCCGTTTTATGCTCATTAATAAGCATATCATTTGCTAGACTTTGGTATTATAAATCTCTTTGGAGAAGTACAACATCGTATCATATCAAGAGGTTACACTATATAAGGATACAAACAGACAAATGAAACTTTTGGCTCGGTTAAGGGACGGCTTTTGAGGGAAAGTTTTATAATCCAGAAGCCAAGATTTTGTTTGGAGATGGGTGTGTGTGTGTGGAGTCTGGACCTTTGCAATAAGAGTGAGGTCACTAAAGCGCTTGCCTTTCTCTCTCTCTGGAATGAGCCTGTAAGGATATGTAAGTCTGATAAGCTGGTATGTATACATCATCATCATCATCGACGTCATCATCAGACAAATCGGTTGTTTGATCGGTCAAGCCAGACCTGAAACAGCCATTTACGATTTTGGGTTGGATTTAAACCTATTTATAAGGTAAGGTCAAATCACGAAGAAGAGATCAAGATCGAGCAGAGGAGATTGATTCAAAGGATGAATACATTTTCGATGCCTGCGAGCCCGGACTCGACTCATCGATCACAGTCCATCGTCACTCGCCTGATCTTAATTACAAGCTCATCAAACAGCAACCCGTTTTGTTTTTCTTGCTGCCCCGTGTGATTGTACGATGTTGACATCATCCACAAGGACATCGGCCAAGCAAGACTCTCATCAAGGATTCAAGGGCAGGCTGAGGTGTTCTTTCCTTCGAGCTTCACCGCCAGGTGTTTTCGTGTATCAATACACAATATGCTGATCTGGAGAGTTATGTGCTGTTATATGGATTTAGCTATTCGTGTACCTCCAAGAAATATAAGCTTTAAACCATACACATCTATGTGTTTGTAGACCTCGGCTCTCCTTTTATCCAAGTTGGACAGAGTTGGACAGAGTTGGACCGGCCACTCCAAGAACCCGCCAAGAAAGCTCGGTTGGTGTGGAGTTCCTTTACATACCACAAATGAATCTCTTGCCAAGAGTGTTGATGTTGTATGTATCTTACAAGCCGTACAGTGTAGAACTACACCATAACAACACCGTCCGTAGAGCCTGGTAGAGCGGACGAGTCGAGAATCGTAGACTTCCAGCCAACCCATTGTCTAACCAATCTGGTTACATATTGTGTTTGCAAGAAAGCTTGGATCATTTTGCTTTTTGGATTTTTTGTAATCCTTGCAACTTATGGATTTACCTTTCTGCTCGATTAATTTCAAATATGTTTCTGCCTCAGGTGTCCCAGGGCTTTCACCTTCTTTCTCAGCTCATTCGACGGTCCAGTGCTTGGTGGGCATCACCGATGGGGCAGAAGGGAGTGACCGGCGGTCCAGGTAAGCGGCTTGTAGGCCCTACAAACTGCTCTGGTTCCGAATATGAACCTCGTTTTTTCTTAATTCTCCTCCAAGAGCATGTACTGGAGCAACATGGCTCCGGAGGTGGTTTTATCCCTGGGTCTTATCTGACATCTGTCAAGATAAAACCCGACTGAGAAAATGAAAATATGGGATTAGAAATATCAAATTTAAAGGGTTACAAAAAATTCAAAAAGCGAATCGATCCAAGCTTTCTTGGATACACAATAGACAGTCATCCAAACTCCGATTGCCCAGCAAGAGCACATCAGATATTTAAGTTTCGCTTGACAATACGTAGACAATCAGCCCGACCCTCTTTTTTGTTTATGGATGGTTCGATCGTACATACCAGATCACTCCCTTGAGCAAATCGCCCCGTTTCTGAGCTGTGAGTTCCTTTCTCTCTGTCTCTTTCTCTCTTTTATTCCCTTTCTAACCCCTTCCCCTCCTTCTCTCTCTGTCTCTCTCTGTTTCTGTATCGACTAGGATGTTTATATAGAGGAAAGAGGGGACTTGATTGATCTACATACACAGTATTCCTTTTTTTTTTCTTCTCCTTGTGATCGCTTTCAAACCTCCTTTAATCCATACTTGTTGTTGTACCACATACTTCACAATACAGATGTTGTAGAAGTTGAGAATAAGGTTCATCCGATTCGTTTGCATGTGTACAACCACAGATCCCATCTTCATCTCTCTTTCTTGAGAATTGTCCGTTTTGTTCATTCAAGTTCAATTTCAAAGTCTTTCATTCCTTCCATCATCTTCAACCCAAAACGAATTTTAGACTTGACTGTGTTGACGCTTTGTTCGAGTTGATGAATATGAATACATATGAATGAATCCTAAGATTGACTGACGAAGCTTCTCTCCTTTTCAATATAACGATGTACATAACAATCCAACTCAATATATTCTACATCACATCACATCACCCCAGCTTAGCGTCAAATAAATAAATAATTCAACTGCCACCAACATGAAGAAGGCTATGCACTCCAGCTCATAATTTCCCAGCCGATAAAACCGCCACCCAACTGATACTCAAACATAACAACCCTTCACTCCACTCCTCTCCTCTCTCCTCCATATAACCGGCCGGGTTCAACAACTGCTGCTTCGACCATCAGTTCAGCCAGCGACGAACGACGACGACGACCCAGAAGATATATCATATCATCGACATCTCCTCATCATCACCGCCAGAGCGAACCTTCAGGATTGGTGCATCTCTCTCTCTCTCTGGCTTGATCTCCTTTGTTGTTGATTTTTTGATTTCTTTTTTTCTTGTTTCTCTGGCTTGATTGAATTGATTGCGATACTCTCCACACCAGCAACCCGATCGCCCGATCCCCTTCCCACAGGCTTTCTCTCCTCCCTCCCTCTCTCTCTCTCTCTTGACCCCCCAGAGAGTCTCTCCTATATTTACATATCTATAAAGACCCCCTCCTGCATCCTGGCTTTCCTCGTATCTTCATCCTCATCGGCCTCAGAACATCGACCCCAAAGATCCTGATCGACTTGCCTATTACCTCGATCATCTCCCCCAGCCCAGTCCCCCAAAAAAAAAGCAGACAAACCATTGTTTTGATTCCTGATCCTACTCGGTCTCGTTTAGATATCAACCCAACACCTCTCCTCCTACTCCCTCTAGTTGACCGCTTTCCATTTGATTCAATAAACCCTCAAAAAAAGAACCATCATCACATAGAATTTCTTTTTCTCCTACATATTCCAAAAAGCAAAACCACCAAAAAAGAAACCGTTCGATAAACCAAGGTTGTTTCCCACTTTCACTTTCTTACTCACAATACATAGATCAAGGACTCTTCTCTTTTTTTTACCTCTCTCGTTTGTACCTCTGATCATCTCCAATCCCAATCCGTATAGAAAACTCTTTCTCCTCTCCCCCAGCTTATATAGATTTGTTTTGTTACATAAATTATCCATCCGATCACGACCCCAATAATTATTCTCCGACTTCTCACAATCAATCGGGCTCTCATATCGGCAGAGTTTATAACACTCTATCAAGACATCGGACCAAATACCATTAAACACACATTATCTATTTTTCCCAGCATCCACACTTTGCTCATTCTTTGTTTTCATTTTAATTTTGTATGTTCTTTTTTTGTTTTTCTTACAATTGAAGCGCCCCTCCCATCATCAAACTCAAAAAAAAAGATCTTCACACCCTGATCGGCTACGTGTTTTTTTTTCTCTCCCTTCCGCTCGACAACCTATTCTCACACCCCCCCTCCCCTGACGTGCGAATTGATTCATATACACACACATAGAAAAAAAAACAGCAATAGTAATATAGAGTTTTCATTCATTTCTTCTTCATCGCAGGGCATCCTCATCCAACTGAAGGGCCATCCCATCCCATCCCATCTTACATATATATATAGGCACTGTCTTTCGGGATTATCATCCCCGCCCCACTCCAGCCACTCCCCCAGCATACCGTAACAATTCTCATCTTACAAGAAAGAAAACAAAACAAACTGATCCGTCCTCTTTCCTTTGGGCGACGGTAGAAAGATCTACATAGACCATCCTTCCAACCCTTTTCATCGTCTTGAACAACCCACCACCACCACCACCCACCAAAAAAGAACAAAAACAAAACCATGTACATGGATCCCTACACAGCCAGCGGCAATCCCGCGATCGACCCCAGCCTTCCACGCCACTCCTCGGGATCACCAAACCTTGTTGATTCGAATGATAAACAGATTCAGAATCAGCCGGAGCTTGCTGAGGATGAGAACGAAGAAGAATCCAACTTTGGCGAAATCGGGATGTTTGGCGATTTCTGTCTAATGTCAGTACTCCCTAATCATCCTACCACTCATTCTCGTCTTTCCCCTTCTTGTGAATCTCTACTTGATCGATGTGGATCATTCAATGTTTTTTTTGCTTAATTTTGACAGGTGTGGTGAGATGATCGATGGCGAGGTCTTTGATGGTAGCGCTTATTGCTCCGAGGAATGCGAATATCATCAACGTATCACCTCCGAATCTGACTGGTGTGATCTGAGTTTGGAAGGTCAGTATGCCGAGGAAAAATTTAACTGATAAATGACCATCGCAATTAGCTTGCTAACCATCAACTTCATTTTTCACCGAAACAATTCAATTCAGGTTATCAACTTCCAAGTTATGGTTGTTCAACAGCTGTTTCGTCAGCCAGAACGAGTCCATTGAATTCGCCGAATCTACAAGCCTCGGGAAGACTGGCGATTCTTTGCTCGGGTCCCCCGCCCTGTGAATTACTCTTGCCGCTAGATTTGGGCGAAAGGTTGTTAGGTGCGAAGGCGGTAGCCGAGCGATACTTGGAAAATCGACCCAAGTCGTGGCAGGAGGAAGGAGAAGAGACGGAGGAGGGGAAGATGAAGAAGAAGAAGAAAGAGGATGTCGAGGAACGGATCAGCGGTGCTGATGAAGGGGTCGAGGAAGCGGGAGACCGAAAGCGCGCCGGCGCCGGCCAGTCTTCTTCATCCCTTCATTCTTCGACCATCACCCCATCCCAAAAACCATTGGTCTCAACTGGCTCCCATCTCAAGTCCCGTCCCGCACTGGCCCAACTGAGCGACCTCGAAGACTTCTGGGGTCCACCGAGCAAGCAGACCGCTTCGACCAGTCGGCCTGCCAGTCCACATTCTCTCGCCTCGATCGACCCGCCCTTGCCTAGCTCCTCAACCGTTAATCCAAACTCTGGTCAGACTCTTTCTAGCTCTCGTCGTAGAGTCTCTGAGCCGGTCTTCAGTCACTCCCAGCCGATCGAAGTCTCCCCCTCTAATCCTCATCTCTACCACTCTTCCTTCTCGCTCACCTCTCTCTCTTCTCTCTCTCCCTCTTCTTCGCAAGAATGTGCTCAGTCTTGTTGCTCTACTCATTTCGTTTGAGAAAAATCCTCCCTTCCAGCTTCCTTACTTCACTACTTCCTACCTCTTTCTTCTGCTTTTCTTTCTACCTTTTTTTGGAAGCGGGTTTTCCTTTTCCTTTTTTCTTCA